TTGTCTGTTTACTAGATAATTCAAAACGTATATGTTGTCTATTGTTCCCATCCCCTGCCGAAATCCTGTTTGGTTGTGTGGTATTATCCCTTTCTCTTCGCATTCCTTCTTTATCCTCTCCGCCAACACCACCGTGTATATCTTATATAGCGCCGTCATTATTGTTACTCCCCTATAATCCTCTACCTTTTTTCCTCCTCTTTTTTTTACTATTGGCACAATTACTCCCTCCTTCCATTCCTCCGGCCATCCGGCCTCTCCTTTCCATACTCTGTTGCAATAACTCCATACCCACTCCGTCGTCTCTTCTCCTGCGTACATCCATGCTTCGCCTGGTATTCCATCAATTCCTATTGCTTTCCCTTTTTTAATTCTATTTATCGCCTCTTTAATTTCCTCCTTGCTTATCTCCTCTTCGTTATCCCTCCTTTTTCCCCCCTCCCCCTCCGTTATTCTGTTGTCTACTCCTCCTAGTAGCCTCATAAAGTGTGCTTTCCAATCCTCTTCTTCTATTTCCTTGTTTATACCTATTCTTCTCTTTCTTCCTCTATGGACTATTTTCCATACCTCATTCTCTTTCTTTACCTGTTCCGCCTCTTTCTCCCATCTATCTGTTTCTTCCTTCCTTTTCTGTTCGCATAGTTTCCTATATTCTAATCTCATTTTTCTATATTCCTCTTTCTCTCCTTTATTCTTCCTCCACCTTCTTAATTCTCTTCTCACCTCCATTTTTCTCTCTTTTCATTCTTCATCCCACCATCCTCCTTCTTTCTTCCCTTCTTCCTTTTGAATTCTTTCCACCTCTTTTAGTGCTTTTATTAATTTTCCTTTTACTTTCTTCCATTCTTCCTCTAGCCTTCCTCCCTGTCCAGTTTCAGTCTTTCTTTAAACTCTTCCTGTCCCTTCCTGTCCCATTTTACCTTTCTTGTTTCTTGTCTTTTCCTTCCTCTTTCCTTTCCTTGTTCTTCCCCCTCTATCCATACCTCCAGTGGATGGTGATCCGAGTCTATTTTCTCCCCTATTCTCATGCTTCTAATCCTCTCCCTCACCTCCTCATCTCCTATCACATAATCTATTACCGTGTTTCCTTTCCCTCCTGTAAACGTGAATTCTCCTTCCTCGTCCCCCTCTATGTTGCCGTTGTATATGCTCCACCCTCTCTCCTCTATTACCTCTACCAGCCTCCTTCCTTCCTTGTTCCTTTTCTTATCTTTCGAGTTCCTACTTTTACTCTCTCCTGACCTTTGCTCTTCCATTACGTTCAATATCCCTCCTTCCATCCCTGTTCTCGCGTTAAAGTCCCCCCCTATCAATATTCTAACTCCCTCCTCCTTCCTGTCTAGCAACCTCTCCAACTTTTTTAACATCTATTCTATGTTTTTATTTACGTATACTCCTATTATTTTCCGCTTCTCCTTCCCCCTTCTAACCCCTCCACTCATTAAACCTTCCTCCTCCGTCTCTATCCCTATTTCTTTATCTAGCATTTCCTTCTTTATTCCCATTACCATTCCTCCACTCGCCCTTCCTTTCTTGTTTCTTCTCTTCGCCCATTGTGTTCTCCATATACAGGGTGATTCAGAACAACCACTTGTCCTTAAAATGTCGTATTCTAGACTTAATTCTGAAATGATTTTTCCTCTTGCAAAATTTTCTCCGAAGCTTAGTTTTTGAATTATAAAGAGGAAAAGATAACGAATGACGGGCCAGATACTAGAGGCAGGCAGGAGCGGCGCGGCTCACCGTCA